GCTGCTCTGAAAGTAATGCTTCCTATTTTACTGCGCTGGTCCACAATATCAGAGGTGGATCCTGGTGGAATGGCAGAAGCCATGACTGAACCTTCCCACCAATATTCCATTATGTTTCGCTGCTGTGTGACAGATGGCAGTGAAGAAGCAATCTGACAAAATAGTGGTTGACATGGAATTGTGTATGAACCAAAGGTGTATTATTCAATTCCTCAGTGTGGAAAAAATGGCACTCACTGGCATTCATCAACGCTTGCTGAATGCTTATGAAGACCAAACAGTGGATGTGAGGCACAGTGAGGCAGTGGGTGGTGCCTTTCAGCAGCACTGACAGCAACATGAAGACAAGCCATGTTCCAAATAGCCATGCACGGCTGTCACACCACAAAATGAAGAAAGTCTCCATCAGCTTACCCATGCAAATCGGTGGATTATGATCAGAGAACTGTGTATGGAGTTGAATATTGGCTTCAATGTGTTGGAAATAATGGTGGCGATGCAGGAATATCACGAAGCTTGTCCCAGATGTTTTCACAGAGGAACAGAAAGAACACCATATGTGAGTTTATCAGAACCTAATGAACCAATATAAGGCTGAAGGCAACGGTTTCCTGGATCGTACCATCACTGGTGTTGAGACGTGGTGTCAGCACTACAAGCTGGAGTAAGAAGAGCAGCCCATGGAGCGGCAACAGGTGAATTCCCCACGAAAGAAAAAGTTCAAGAAACAACCCTCAGAAAGTAAAGTGATGTGCACTGCCTTTTTGTGTAGGAAAGGGGTGATCCTTATGCATTTCCTGGAACCCTGACTGCTTCACTGCAATGCTGCCTAAGCTGAAAGTTCCAATTTGCAGAGTCAGTCCAGAGAAAAAGTAAACCTTTCTCTTGCAGCACAGACAAAAGTGTAACTGCCAGATGAATAATTAATTCAATTTAATTACATGGGTTTTTGTTTTTTGCTTTATTTCTTTTTTAAAAAAAAGCTTTTCATACATTTTTCTGAAAGATAAACATTCTTCCATTCTGGCAAAAATGAAAATACATTTGTATTTAAGCAGTAAAACTATACAGTAGCCTGCAAATGCTCACATGCAAACTCAAAACTCAACCCCACGCTCAAAGCTAGGCACTGTAAATGACCTACACGAAAGTACACTTTCACACATAATTTTTCAATAAGAGAAAAACTGAGAGAAACATGTGCCATTTTACATTCATTTTATATTAATCTGGTACAACACAAAGTGGTGTAAAGAAAAAGTATTTTAAAATTCTGTTGCCTGAATTCCACTCTGCATTATTTCCTGATACACTAGTATGTTTTTTCTTGTCTTCTGCATTCTGAAGAGTAATGTGTTTATTACCCAATACTAATACAATATAGAGGCTTTTAAACTGCAGAGGAATTCCATCATACAAATCAATTTGTTACATTCACCTGAACAGTTCTATTAGATGTGTTCATGCTTCTGTGAAAGCTGAATTTAAGGCTCCTACCTACTAAACAATATCTTAAAGAATGCAGATACAACATTTCTGCCAAACGGCTTCTGCATTAGTTTGCTTCCCCATAACTGTAATTTTTCAAAGCATTTGATGTTGAAATTTTAGTCTATGCTAACAAACTGAAGGCAAAGAAAAATCTCCTTCATAGAAAGCTTTCCGTATAAGAAAAAGAAAATAGAAACAAGTACAAGGAGATCATCCTACAGAAAACCCACCTGTTTTGGCAACAATATCCAACACATTCATATTACTATTACTTGTAAGCTAATTCATATGGTCATAAAACAGATGAAGTGTAACTTACAACGCTGACGTTTCTTAAAGTAGAAGACACACGCATTTAAAGGAGACAGGAAGCACACTCAAGAGAAGAACAACATTCCACAGAAGCTACAGACTGAAATGGGACAGGAGATGCTGCTGGGAGATGTTAAAGAACTGATGTGTGCATGATGCACTGGGACTGGGAATGTATCTGCAGTGTGCAACCCGCTGGCAAACAGCAGCATATGCACATTAATAGAGAGATGATCGGCAGTTCTCTGAAAGCACAGAGAGATAGGAATGATCCTACACTGATCTAACAGGCACACGATCACCTGTTAACCAGGGAGTGATTCTGTGCCATTTCCATTTCCTGTACAGAATACGAAATTGCTGCTAATAGCAAATGGATAGAATATTTAGAAATAACATCTGAATTGTAAGACGATGGTGTACTGATTTAATTATAAAGCAGTATGAGCAGAAATCTTTATCACTCTATAAGACAGTACATTATCCATCGCGGTATAATTCTACGGAGGTCAAAGAAGCATCAGAAGAAGCTTAGGATTTAATGATTCACTTTTTTTTTTTTTTCTTTCTGAAAGCAGAAAGAAGGCTTCACATCCTATTAATGGATCTGCAAACTCCAGCACAACATATCCTGGTTAGATCTCACAGAAGGGCCCCGGTTAGTGATCAGGCAAGAGTACCATGCATCATTAACAGAACTTCTGCTTTCTTTCCTCCACTTTCCTCCCACTTCTTTTAAGCCTAAAGAGCAATGCACACAAATGCACAAAGAATATTAAAGTTGCAAGTGCTTACATATTCAACATAAAGAGAACATACTTAGAGTGAGAAGTTCCCCATAATATGCTGTAAACACATAAATGCCCTTCATAGCAGAAAAGATGCCAATTTCCTAACTCTGTGTCTTACATACAATTTTTGACTTTGAGAAATGAAATCCTGAAAAAATAAACTATTCTATATAGTGTTGATTTTTTTTCTTATGAGTTCTAAAAATATATGCATTGTAAACAAAATCACAATATTAACTAAATCAGCTTATTTGGAGGATTTTACAAACTATGCTGTTCTAAGAGAAAAGTTCCACTATTCACACTTGAGGGAAGCCCTCAGAACACCCGAGGTGGCAGCAGAGAAAGCTAAAGCAGATTGCTGAGTTCCCAGTTTGATGGTATACAAATCTGCGCATGAGGTAAAAGTTTTAGAGAAGGAAAAGAAAGGAAACACAAGTCAGACTCTCCTTGGTTGTTTACTAATAAAGCTGGGAACACCACAACACATTCCCTGATCCTTTTTTTCCTCTATTTCCTTCTCAAAAATAGGAAATGAGCAGAAATCATTGTACAAAAATACCAGTCCACATCATAAGGGACACAGAAATGCCAAGCTACTAGCTGTATTTTTTTCTTTCAGAACTTTAAATATGATCTCCATAATTTATCCAAAGATCCAATCTATCCAAAGAGCTCCTTTTCTTGAACAAGAAAATTTACCACTTAAAATGATACATATTGGCTTCAGCCACAGACATACACACTTCTGTGCTTTCCAAGAAAGGTATATTCTTAGCGGAACAGATGCTGAATCCAATGTGTGCCACACACCAAACAAAATTCCTAATGCATGTAATTTCTCACACAACCCTTTCTCCTTCCCCACGTTTTGCCTGAGCTGCAAATTCTGTTGTCAATTTTGTAAACTATTTGAAGCTGAGCTCACTTCTGGAGGGGTAGTCAGAAGGAAATCTCAATTCCCCAGGCCATTCCAGATCTAAATTCCACACCATTTAAGTCAGGTTACCCCTCTCTCTTTGATGTACGTGGGAAACAGTTTCAAGAGCCTATTTCTAAAATTCCTTGCACCTTAAAAACCTCGATCTTCCAGCAGCTTAGATGTCCCATATCCTGCAGGATTATACTCCAATAATCTCACTTCTTTAAAGGACATTTCAGGAAAGTATGTCAACAGGTCCTCTCAAAGACTGAGGGAATAAAAATCACTGGAACCTTCAGAAATATTATAGGTTTCAGATTACTAAGGTTTCTTGTGGACAAGGGAATGCATTTCTCCTTCCTCCCTGCACAGCTGTGTCTAACCTAGGTTGCAATGCCAAATAGAGAACATTTACTCAACTTTTTCCTATTATGGAGAAAAGCAGGTGTTTTACCTCTACTATACTGAAGAAAGGCATCTATTATCTCAGTTTGTAGGGAAATTCTTGTCATAGTATGGCCAACAAGTCAACACTTCCAACATGCATGCAAGAGAGATTACAGCATCAAACATCTGCTTAGTGTAGAAAGGCAGATTACAGAAGTCAGCAGTCACAGTGTCCCGGTTACATAAGGAATACACAAAGCACTTCAACCTTTGAAAACCAAAAAAATAAAAAAAATTCACAGGGAAAATGAGAAACAAAAGAATCTCCAGAACTTCTCCTTTCCCTTAAAATTCGAACAACCAAATCTCTCACACTCACCAGAAAGAAAACCAATAAACCATCTCCTGAAGTTACAAATGTCATCCTTTTCAATTGCAATCAGTATATCAGAGTAACTGCGTGATAGATTACTACCTTACATTTGATCCAAGCCCTACATGGGATCAAACATGACACAGAGTTTAGCAGAATTAGTCAAGTCTGCATATACCCAAAGGGTATTCGAAAAACACTGCTACCCTCCTTACTGCAAGAACAGCATTCTGAACAACACATGCCCCACACTGTCTCAGATCAGTCATTGCTTCAGGTTAAGAAATACAACCTCTGGAAAAAAAAATGATTTCAACGCATCTTCAGTGGTCCTCAACAGGCTTAGAAAATAACATCAAAACCACTGCTGGAATTCACTGCCGTGTAAGCCTTAACTAATGCCCTAACAGGCATCTAACTTCAACAGTAAGATTCTGTTCTACGGCCAAAATACTTAACAGATGTCATCAATTCATACCACACCTGAAAAACAAAAGTTTCAAGACTGGAAATACAATTGCAAAATCAGTCTCCTACACATAGACATATCCTGGGATAATGGTTCAGACTACAAACAGAATGTAAATTAGAACTTTCTCCCCATGCCTCCCCCCCACCAGTGGAAAATAATTTCTGAAAATCACCCAACAGTCTACTTCTGGTACCCCTCCAACAATATATTAGCAAAATGCACGTATTTGAAATATAGAGGAAAAAGCCTTACTCTGCTATATCAAGATATCCACAGGAAGCAGCTGCATGTAGAGGTATCCAGCCTTCATTATCTGGTTGATTAATATTTGCTCCATTTTCCACCAGAAATTTCACCATATCTACGTTATCATCTATACAAGCCTATAAAGAAAGAAAGATGTAAGAAATAAGTTCACATTAAAGTTATTTTCACAACATTGTGCATCTTTAAGAAAAAAATAATTGCTTTCAGGTACCATGTGGAAGCAAGTTTTATCTGCTGGGATTTGACAGCAAGACAGAAAGAACTGGAGAAAAAAACACCACTTAGAAATTTGTCAGCAAATCCTTTAACACAATAATTTAAACAGAGTTTAACAAAACCAACGAACGTGATTTCCTCAGGTAAACTGGTTCTGTTTTTCTGAAAACCCATTCAGAGCCACCAGTATAAAATGTTTGTCCTGTACAAAGTCATTCCCTTTACCAGGCCCCCAGGTTCTAGCTCCATTCTAGGTCCAGCTTAGTCAAGTGAATTACATCACAATTGCCAACAGCCAATCACTACACCGTAAAGTAGAATTATTGTAGTCAAGAGATGGGGAGCAGTTTTGAAAACAGTGTTGTAACATGGTTTTAATTATAATGTAGTTCAGACTTAGGAGTGTGGAAGGGGATGCTATGTTGCATTTCAACAGTACCCTGTTGTTTTCTACGCAGCATGTTCTAGCACCATACATCTTTTAACAGTCTTTTGATCACTCTCGTTTATAAACTTACTTGAGTATCAGTTCAGCATATTGCAAAGATATTATCTTTTGTGCACATACTACACCTCTGGAGCACACATTTTCATTACCAAACAAGTAGTGCTGCGGACATGCACAACTTCTGGCACTCTCCAGATCCCCATCCTGACTGGCTCCTATTTTGCCTCTCTTCTCTGTGTTTGAGTATTTTTCTCACAGGGTGCTCAGTGCGTTTTCTTGCCAACTTCCATACTGCTGCCCTTAAAAGGGCAGAGTAACACAGACAAAAGTCCCTCTGCACTTCAAGACAGCAAGGACTCAAAACAGACTCCACAAGACCGCTATTAATTTTTTTTTTTACCTTAATAAATCAACAGTACTACAAAACGAAAAGACTGAAACGAGAACTGCTACTACCAGGCTCCCAAATCCTTCCAGAGAATTATCTGTCTCATAAAAATGCAACTAAGGTATAGCTATTACTTTTTAGCATACTTCTACAACGATCAGGACCGAAAATTACGTTCTCCTACTGTAAAAACCACAGATTTCCTTATTTAAGCAACTGTGCTTTCCAAGACAAATCTCAAAGCTTTCCCTCATTCTCTAGTGCTGAGGCAGCAGTTAAAATATACAGAAGACACACTGCTGTCCTGTTTAACCAGACAAAAACAGCAAGAAATTATCCTTCTTTGACCCCATTTGCTTTAGTAAGGTATGAACTTTAAGTTTCATTTAGAATGCAACAAAGAACTGCTTTAATAACAAGCCTCATCTGCGCTTCTTCATCAGTAATCTTTCTGCTGGACTGCAACCAGACTGCAACAAACTGCTTGCATTATTTGTTCTTCAATTAAAAACAAACACACTCTTAAAATAATAACTTTCATAAACCTAAGTTCCTCCCTACCTTTTCAGATACTCTTGAAATGTGCCTCTTAAAGGATTTTCCAAATTATCTTTTTACTAATTTCCATCCCTATAATCAGCAATTCTTTCAATAACTGGTTTATCGGCATACTTCAACAGTAAAGACTACCAATTCCTCAAGGATACTGCCTTCATTTTCTTCCAGTTATTATCATCAGCACACAATGCCCACATGGCATTAATAAGCTCTTAAATAAAATAATCACCTTTCTTTGCAAGTCATTTTGTTACTCAGAATGAAAGGAACTAATCGTAAGACGTAGCAACAGATCAGGAAGAAAAGCAGTTCAGGAAACACAGATGTTTACACTTCACAGAAACATTAGCCAAGCCATGCTTCACACATGTATTACATCATGTTTTTCTGGAAAAAATGCAATTTGCCTGATCACAGATATCCTACCTATCTCATAATATCCACCAGTTTACCATATGCAAAACAAACTTATACCAGAAGAACTCACAACTTTCTGAATGCTGTTAAATTCACATCTTTCAGTATTACATTTCAATAGGCTACATACTCATGTTCGCTGCAATCCTCCAAAATGCATAACATGTGAAAAAAGGATATCTTACAATTGATCGGCACTGTTAAAAAAAGCCAGACCGTCTGTTAGTGACACAACCTATCAAAGAGCAAACTTTGCCTGTTTTTCAATTATACGTAAGAAAAACTGGCAAGAACTACTCATAAAAATACTGTTGCTAAGTGAATCAAAAGCTTACATATGCAGCACATTAAAAGACATATGACTAAGTGGCTAAAAATATTTGACCAAATTTGGGCAGTCTATTGTGCCATATATGGCAAGAATCAGGGGAGCTCAAATGGACTTCAAACGTATTACCGCAGATTGCAAGTCCATGACAGGCAGAGATAAACAACCTGCGAGACTATGTATATTGGGATGAAAGAAGAACAACTATTAAGATAATAAAGGAATTTACTTGTATATGCAAATGGCAAAGTACTGGCATTGCTGGTGATCACATTCATGTAGTTTAAATAAAGTTTCTCAGAACTTATTATTCAATAACACTGTTATTACAGGAGAACGGGACTCACAGAAGCTGACATCGAGGAAGTGGAAGAAGGTTGTATAATTTAAAAATATATCACTTTTGAGTTTCTTCAAACAAAGATTACTTAAAACTACGTCTTGTACCTGGAAATTCATATAGGAAACTCACTGTGGACTTCAAGAAAGCTATTACCTATCTTAAGGTGAAGAAAAGCAAATGATCTTACTGCTGAAAAACATGTGCATAGTATGTCCTATTTACCTCTGTTCCCAGAGGTGTCTGATGGACCCTTTCTCACCCTCATCACTTGCCATGCAAAAGACAATTTTGACTATCAGCAAGTACCTTATGTCAGAATGTCATGAAACAGATGTTATTAAAGAAATTTTATCTCCTTGGTTTTCCATTTCCATTCCGATTGTCATCGTATTATCTCCCTGGTCCCTTCTAAGAGCAGTAATTATCAAGTGCCAGAAGTGCCTCTATTGTTAGAGAATGACATCTCAGCCCCAAAAGGAAAGCATTTCAGAATTGCATGATAAATTTAAAGCAACAGACTCATAAAAGTCTGCCCTTCCACACCTCAGTAAGCCTTAATCTAGAAATTGTTAAAAAGGAAAAAGCAACGTACATGCAACATGCAAATAATAGGACTTCCACTGGTACCAGAATGAATTAAAAAAATACATTCTCATGAATGCATCTGGCAGTCTTCTCACTGAGTACAGGCGTAGGCCCTCTTCATCCATGACTGCCACAGCCCTTCTAGGATCCATTTCCCTTCCTGGCTCCATCTCTCCTTCCCCAGTCTCTCTCCAGGGCCCTCAGTTCCTGCTAAAGCCATTTCTCAGTGCCAGCCCAGCACCAGAGCATGCACACCAGGCCTCTGGGCCCAACAGAGCCGGGTGGGGATTTCCCCTCTGCCTCCTCCGTTTTATGCTGTTCTTCAGCCCAGCTCCCACTCTCTTCTGATGTGGCAGAAACACTGTATTTCTCCATTCGCTGTTCTGTCAGTTCTGATGGAAGTCAGCCTGCAGGCCCTAAACTCATCAACAGCTGGACAGTGCAAACAAACAAATCTCACTTCCTTTAGTGACTGATTTAGAAACTAGGCTTATTAGTCATGAAGGAAGCAAAACAAAGCAAAGTTGATCATACAAAGTCCGCCTACCTTTTCTGATTAGAAGAGATGAAATCGCGAAGGAAATCTATTAAGGCCCAGGAACTAAAACTACTTTCTCTTTCCACAGCGCCCTGCAGCCTGGACTGCACAGAGCAGCAAAGAACAAACAAATGCAGGCAGGTCCAAACTGACCTACAAGATGCCTATGTGAAGCAAAATGATGCTTTAAAAACTTCCCAGAAGTGCTTTCTGATCGCTCAGTAGGGGGTGAACAGAGGCCGGCTGAACACCCTAGACTGTAACAGTTTCCTTTTGGATATCCCAGTGTCAGCTGCATGTGATCAAGCTGGCTGCTTTTACAATCAGGTGTTCAGATGTGAAGGGGACAGACTTAAGTGAGTAGGTAACCTTAAAAATAGATGGTTTTAAAAGAGATCTCTAGTGTGTCACGTCCCTCAGTGAACATCCATCTTAGGAATCCCCTAGACAGCGCTCCTCCCTCTCAAAAAAAACAAGAAAAACAAGTCTGTGTTTCTTAAAGTAAATTAAGGCAAACCTTGGAGAGAAAAACAATCAGTTAAACAGACTACTATCTTACTGCATAGCTTTACTTCATGTATGTATCTTACACTGAACTACAATTTTACAGCCTTTAATCAATGATGAGATCTAGCAAGGTAATAAAGTTTAAAAGTTCAATTTTTTACCATTGCTTTCTAGCGAGAGACTACAACTTGCCTTTAGCTGTTACTTGATCTATTCGACAAATCAAAACATTTTGCCTCTAGTAAGAGGAAAGTAATATGGCATGTTTAATCTGTCACCCCATTTCATTCTTCTTCATTTACCCTTAGTATAGAAAGCATTCAAAAATTATGAATCACAGAATGACAGAATAGCTCAGGTTGGAGAGGACCTTAGAAGATTAGCGAGTTCCAACCCCCTCCCTGCCATGGGCAGGGCTGTCAACCACTACATCAGGCTACGGAGGAAAACAAGGTAATATATTAGACGTCAAGGTATAAAACAAGCCAACCATTTTGAAATCCTGCGGAAAAGCAGAAACCAGGAGAAAGGAGAAACCCCTCTCACAGTTGCCTGTAGAACAGTTTATCCCTTCCTTTGATTCACCTAGTGAATCAAGTGCGGCAAGTCCATTGGATCTAGGGAGGTTGTTAACATCTTTGTTAATGTACCCAGGAACTAAATTAAAGAAAAGCATCCACATCCACCAGCACAGCAGGTTAAAAAGAGTTTCCTGTTCTCTTCACCCCTAATTGCTTGTTCCTGATTCCATTACATACAGCTAGGCTGACAAACTTTACTGAACTGGA